CTTGCGTTGACAATTTAAATGCGCTGCATTATTTTGCTTATTGCGCTCTCCTGTGGCCTCGGGAGACAATTAGACCTATACAATAAAGACCTATTTAATCTGCATATAAAACATTAGAAATGAGATATTTGTTATGTACTCCCCATCGTGTTGTTTCAAACCTGTATGACTTTCTTTTGTGGAACACAAAATATATTTTGAATAATGTTTTGGTGGCCCCTAACTTCCATTGTATGGACAAAACAAAACACTAAGACATTTCCCCATTGACATTTGAAACATTTTCCAATATATAATTTGTTTTCCACAGAAGGAAGTCATACAGATTTGACAGGAATTACATGAAGGTGAGAAAATGATGACAATTGTATTTCTCCATAGTCAAAATGAACTTTCATTGTAAAAAAAGAATGAAGCTTTGAAAAAGACATTTTCCCAAGGCAAAAATGTTTGGATCAACACAAAGATGAGCAAATAATAAAAGATTATTTGAACTATTACTTCAGTTCCTTCCTTTATATTGTACATTACTGCTTCAGTATTTTTTTTCCAGCAGATATTAAGTTTTATGAACAGAGGCTCTTGCAAAACTTTACAGAGAACAGGGTTTATATTAGATGAAACTATCGACTATGTGACTGTGCAGTTGGAAGAGACACAAACCTATCAAACCCCAAACACACATTTCATTACTTCTTTAAATGGATCTTTCCTTGACCTTTTCAAAGTCTAATGGAAACATACATGGGGAGCTCTGGATCCCTTTGCTTTCTTACAAATGAAACATAGAAAGCAACTTTCTAAATCTGTACTATTTGCAGTAGAAAAAAAACATGAAGATAATGTGTGTGGTGTCAATGCAAACTTGGTTTCAAGGACTTGCTACATGGATACTAAGGCATTTGGAATGATCCGTTCATGTTTCTATGGTTGCCAGGTGTTATGGGTCATTTCTACATGGTTGCTTACCCAAGTCTCTAATCTGAGATATCATTAATTCAATGAAAGTTCAATGAGATTTTAGTTGTCTGTTTTATCTGTGGGGTGAAAAAAAATTCCAAGGCCAACTGTTGGGAAAATTAATACCACTCTTCTCAAGCCACAAGATTTTAGATATCATTCATGTCTACAGCCCAAATGGGAAGACTTACACATTGCCATTTAATATACAGGGTGATGGGTTCGATCAAATTCTTAAAAGGGATAAATCACCGAAAGCCCACCCTTATGTCATTCCAAAATTGTATGACTTTATTCTGTGAAAGAGATATGTGAAATGCCTGAACAAATGTGCATCATCAGAATGATTTGGTATAATCATGCCTCAGAACTGTCACATGATTGTGTTACCAAACATGAGGCATTCGAACACACGACAACATAATCACATTTATTGCATTTCATCTGCTCTCTGAGGTGCAAGTCATTATTATATATGGAAAAAGACCCACAGTGGCTTCTCCTATTGCAGCAATTTCCATTTTTCTAGTAACAATTTTTGCCAGTTTATCAGGAAGTAGATGCATGCGATAATGACAAAAAAATTCTCTCTCGATATTTTCTGGAATTTTGTCTATAGCGATAATTTGACTATATTTTGCTGAGTGTGTTATTGTGCTAGTACTTTGGCAGGTTTAGGACTGCCATGGATGGCTGACTCCCTAAGCTTTTGATATTCTTCATATTCTGTGCAGTGGTTAGTTTGCAGGAGTAACAGAAATTAACTTTTCCATTAAGTTTAAATTGTTTTTACCTTTTATGGGCATTTTTACCTTTATAAGACCAGTTTTTCTAACCTAATTAAATGCATGCATCATGCTTTGTGTCACATTCTTAAATGTAATCAATAAATTCAAATAGTATGACACTATAGGGCTTGTTACCAATCAAATGGCAGAGGTGGCAGAGAATCTGCATCTGAAGGGGCATTTAGATGCATTTACAGAGACAGTTTAACGCAGGACACCTGCAGTTACAAATGCATAAATGTTTTGATGTTAAAAAAAGCATTGAATATTGACATTTGAAATAATTTTGGATGAAAAAAAGTGAAAATATACTTTAAATATATACCTAAAGTCGCCAGTAGGTGGCGGCAAATCACTGCATGAGTGAGTCATTGAGTCATTCATTCAACCGATTCGTTCATACTGCTGGTATGACTAGAGTGGCCGTGTTGGAGTCATAATGTGCTGCAGAGGTGTGCAGTGTAAATAAGGGGTTATCCATCCAAGCATTTTAAGGGATAGTTTACCCAAAAATGAAAACTCTGTCATTAATTACTCACCCTCAAAGAAAATAAAAATAACGACTTCATTCAACAATCCGTCTCCACCCTATAGTGCCATTTTGGAGAGCATCACATACATAAACAACATATGCAACATATGTACACAGATACGTTGCACTGATGTCACATGGATTATTTTAACAATTTCCTTGCTACGTTTCTGAGCCTTGATTATGTTAGCATCCTTGCCGTCTATGGGAGGGTCAGAGAGCCCTCAGAATTCATCAAAAATATCTTCATTTGTGTTCCAAAGATGAACGAAGGTCTTACAGGTTTGGAACGACATGAGGGTGAGTAATTAATGACAGAATTTTCATTTTTGGGTGAACTATCACTTTAATGGCAAGGAAAATCCCTTACACTTGACAGCAGCAATGTATGAGGTGTTTCTTGAAAGCTATAGTACATTAAAGAATTATCATGTGATTTTTACGTACACCAGGTGACCTGTAAATGCGAAAAAAAAAAAACGTTTCCATTGCAATTTTGCGATATATTCCTTTTTCAAATTGCCTGAAAAACCACCTAATGCGAGCGTAAAAAACGTTTTTGCGATATATGGGAGTTTTTGCGAAATCGATGGTGTTTCCATTATGTATGTTTTCAATTCGCAATTTCAGTTTGCGCAATTTGAAGGGTAATGAAAACAGCTAGAGACGTAAAACAGTTCTGCTGTGGCCTTGTTTGACACAATTTTCGTTGACAAAATGGAGCAAAAACAGAAACTTTTGTCGAAAATGTAAGTCGATTAATATTAACTTCTTGTTTATTGGACTGTTTTATAAAATCAATATCACATTTGCTATCATGCTGACATTTGGAAAAAAATTGTACTCTTCGTGTGATATTAAGTATATCAGATGATATACAGTAAATATAAAAGGCATATAAAAGTCCTATGGGGGCATACAGTTAGGTCCATATATATTTGGACACTGACACAATTTTCATAATGAGATCAGGTGATTGACTTGGCCATTGCAGAATATTCCACTTTTTTTACTTTCAAAAATTCCTGGGTTGTTTTTGCTGTATGTTTTGGGTCATTGTCCACTTGTACTATGAAGCACCATCCAATCACTTTTTGGCTGAATCTCAGCAGACAGCATATCCCTGTACACTTCAGAATTCATCTGGCTGCTTCTGTCCTCTGTCACGTCATCACAAAACACCAGTAACCCAGTGCCACTGGAAGCCATGCATGCTCATGCCATCACACTGCTCCTCCATGTTTCACAGATGATGTTGTATGCTTTGGATCATGAGCTTTTCCAAGCCTTCTCCATACTTTTTTTTCCCTGTCATTCTGGTACAGGTTGATCTTAGTTTCATCCGTCCAAAGAATGCTTTTCCAGAAGTGGTCTGGATTTTTTAGATGTTTTTTGGCAAAGTCTAATCTGGCCTTTCTATTCTTGAGGCTTATGAATAGTTTGCACTTTGTGGTGAACCCTCTGTATTTGCTCTCGTGAAGTCTTCTCTTGATTGTAGACTTTTGACAGTGACAGGCCTACCTCCTGGAGAGTGTTCTTAACTTCACTGGATGTTGTGAAAGGATTTTTCTTTACCATGGATAGGATCCTCCAATCACCCACCACTGTTGTCCTCTGTGGACGTCTAGGCCTTTTTATGTTGCTGAGCTCACCATTCTGTTTTTTTTTTTCAGAATGTACCAAACTGTTGATTTTGCTACTCTTAATGCTCCTGCTATCTCTCTAATGGAATTGTTTTGTTTTTGAAGCCTAACAATTGTCTGTTTCACTTGTATGGAGAGCTCCTTTGACCACATGATGTGGGTTCACAGCAACAGCTTCCAAATGCAAATGCCACACTTACAATCAACTCTAGAACTTTTACCTGCTCAATTGATGTAGAAATAACGAAGGAATACTCCACATCTGTCTATGAAACAGCTTTGAGTCAATTGTCCAATTACTTTTGGGCAAAAAAGGGGGGAGGTACATATTAAAGGGCTGTAATTCCTTAACCTTTCCTCCAATTTTGATGAGTATACCCTCAAATTAAAGCTCAGAGTGTGCACTTTAAAGCGCATATGCATTATATAACTGTAACTTGAATATGTTTTGGTCAATGGCTAAAATAACAAAAATTGTGCCTGTGTCCAAATATATATGGACCTAACTGTATTTGGCCACTTATATTGAATTTTGGGGGAATTCTAAATGCATTTTAATAGTCTAAATCACACAGTGAAAGTATGAACTGTAAATGTGCAGTAGTCTAACCCAGGGGTTTTCAAACTTTTTGGAGCCAGGGACCCCTTACAGGGGAGAGGATTTTCCAAGGACCCCCTCATATTTATAACAGTGTTTAAGGCTAAAGTTTAATGTGGGTAGAAGGAATGAACATAATATGATTGTTTTATTGGTGCAAATGGTCCCCATTGTATATGTACTTTTTAATACTACAGCATAATATAATTAAATTTACAATATTTTCCGGAAAGTTGCACCAGGGGGAAAAAAAACAAAAAACATAAGTTGCATCGGTGTATAAGTCACATTTTACTGTTACTTTCAGAAATAATTTAAATACTGAATAGGTCTAAGTAAAAACGAATGTTAGGAAAAAAACATTATAAACACTAACATGAATTTTACTTCGCCTCACTCCAAATCGTTTAAATTTAGTGAAATTCATAACAGAACAAAAATAAATGCATATATATATGTATAAAAAAAATAATTATAGAGCCGTTCATTACAACATTTATTTTAAATGCTATGTCCATTGGCGCCAATCCTGTGGGTGCTCGAGCCCCTGAAAAACAAGAGATAGTCTCCTTTCATTTTAACCAATAAGAATTGTATTGCAGCTTTTACAACTTCATTCTCACATTTATAGTTCATTTGAGGCAGTTTTTGTCATTATTTTACTGGCAAATGTCGAGAGTGCATTATTGTAATACGAGAGGGCGCCAGCACAAATCTCTCTTGCAGTGGGCTTGATCTCCCATATAGTGATCATGGCTCTGCACTATATAGGAAAAATTTGATATCCGTCAGATTAGAGCAAGACAGCATTCAAAACGGTCTATTTTTATTAGTGTACCTTCAAAATGACAGTGAAACATTGTGCTTTTGTAAAATAAAAAAAACAAACAAAATGCGCTTGCCGTCTTGGTCTCTGTGAACTTCTTACTAAAATGAAGAAAAACTCAGCGATACTTTCTACTTGTCAAACAGACATGAGAAATATATTTAGCTATATAAACCTTGAAGTGCCCGCTTTTAAGTGTTTACTCTTTGCTTATTTGACATTAATGCATTAAATAAGTCACGTTGGAATAAAAATTATAGCACGTTTCAGAAGATAAAAAAAAAACGCAAATTATTTTCCAGACCCCCTGGCTTTGCCTCACGGACCCCCAAGGGACCCCAGTTTGAAAACCCCTGGTCATGTAGTGCTACATCATGTCGTGCAGGAGTCTCCAAACTTTTTGTGAGTGAGGGCTCCCTGAAGGGATAGTCTCAAGGGCTACTTGTTTGATATACTCCAATATATATATATATAAACCATTAATAAACATTAATGATTTCTCACAAGCATTTAAAAAATTTTATCAATCCAGGAAAATATTCCAGATAAATTTATAAAAATAGGCTATCATACAATATTGATATTTATCATGATATTCATTTATTTATAATGGTGAAGGAAATACTTTCTACATGTTTGTTAGACCTTGAGAATGAAGGTAAACATAACTTTGTTCACAATTAAATTCCACAGAGGAGCTACGTTTTAATTTAGGGCCCCATGAAATGCATTTTATTTTTCCCTAAATTCTGTGTTTTCCATTTGATTTCTTATGGATTCCATGTTTTATGATTCAGTACAAATTTATCGTAAAAAATGGTGTCTAGTGAAATGAATTAATAAAACTTTAACTATTTAATTAATCCTTTAAAACGTAATCAGATGAAAATTGCAAAACATTGCCTTTTTATTTTTTATTTTATTTTATTTGATCAGACATGATGCTGCACAACAGAACTGTATAAATTAATAATAATAAAAAATAACTTGGTTGTACGATATTCCATAAAAATAGTAATATTATTATTATAATTGTCGAGAAGGTCTTTCAGTTTTAGTTTCAGCGTGTATTTGACGGTACTTTTTCTCAAATGAAACTGCATAAAGCTGGTGAAGTGACTCTCAGAGCAGCTCTGAAGATGAAGTGCATGTGTTCATGTCCTCACGCTGAAAACACCGCGAGTCACGCGTGTTTGAGTTTGTGTATCAGATGAAACTACTCCACGCATTCACACAGACACACAGAACATGCAGACTTATTAGCGACATGCACTGACTGGTTGCTGTAACATTTATTTCTGTTGTGTGATAGGATGTTAGATTAATCCATATCAAGCAAAAATGTCCAGAGCTTATCATTATTAGCATAAATTTGATCATAATCTCGATATGATATCATTTATCGCCCGGCGCTAATTTAAGCTATTTATAGAACGTGCTTGGCGGGCGACTCAGAGACTCCATGCGGGCTACCAGGTGCCCACGGGCACCACGTTGGTGACCACTGATGTAGTGTATGAATGCACTCTCTGGGTGTGTTTTTGTTTGGTTTTTGCAATATACTTGTTAATGTCAAATCGCATATCCTTTAAACAACAATTACAATATTATTGTAGACAATATATCGAGTCCAGAGCTGTTTTGGACCCCACTGACTTTCACTGTATATTATATATTTCACTGTATATATTTTTCAAAATATCTTATCATATAGGTTTGGAAAGACATGAGGGTGCTTGAATTGACAATTTTCATTTTGGGGTGAACTATCATGTACTAACACTGCTATTAATACTAGTAGTTTCAGAATTTCTATGAACAACGTTTGAAAACGTAAGCAAAGCCTGAGGTGACACGAACAGGAAGGAGTCATGTCTCTTAAAGAAAAAAAAACATATAAAGAAAAGTAGAAAATGTCTCAATTGCAAACCTCGAGCGCTCCTCTAACAGGAAGAGCAGTGACGGAAGTGTCAAAACTGTCTCCAAATCCAGTAAGAAACAGTCATTTTGACAACAAGCCTCTATTATCCGCCTAACCCATGATAAGACAGTTTGCCAGCAGCTGTCTTGCTCATGGAGCCTCTATCACCTTTTCCAGCTCTGGGTTGGAAATAGGGCCCATTTTATTCACAGCAGTGCATCAAAATCTCTAGTTGTGTTGAACTGAAAATGAATGGCACAATATGTTTTATAGTTCCATATAAAGGAAAACCTTCATGGAATATTCAATATTTGTGAAAACTGCAATATAGCATCATGCTCTACATTCCTTCAAAGCCTCAGACAGAGATAACAACCATACAATTGAATTGTGGTTCTATAATTTAAGCTTGAATCAGCTATTTGCATTTATTGATTTTTAATATACTCAACATTATCATACTAAATGTGTCAGGCTGCATTACAGTCTGTCTGCGGTTTTGAACTGTCTGAGGTTGGGAGGCTAAATGATTCCTCTTTCATCTCCTCCTTTCATGATGACCCTGAACCTTACACACACACACACACACACACACACACACACACACACACACACTCACAAACTCCACTACAAAAAGACGCAGCAATTTAATTTCTCCACAATCTTGAAGGCGAAGCGCTAGCCTTCTGAAAAGAGACACACACACACACACTCACAAACTCCAATCAACAAAGAGGCAGCAATTTAATTTCTCCACAATCTTGAAGGCGAAGCGCTAGCCTTCTGAAAAGAGATGAGATTTTCTTATTAATGTACAACAGTACATCATCAGTCTGACCACAAACAATACGGCCTGATTCACCTTACTGTGACTACTCATTACTTATCCCATTATTGGTGTCATACCCTTTGTCAACCATCATTTTCACTTGTGTTGAAAGTCATCATGACGTAGGAACATAAGCTGATAAAAATAGGCTTCAAAAAGCACGAATAATGAAACCGAACTGATGCAAAAGAACTTCAGGTTATTCTGGAAAATAACTGCTTGCTTGGAGAGTAAGAAACCATTTGATTAATATGTCAAAGAATGTGAAGCCACAAACCTGGCAAATTTTGCCATTTTCAGTGATTAGTTCTTCCTCATACCCTCTCATTATTTCAAGCCGGTACATTTTAAACACAATTTAGTTTCCTGGCGGACTGATAAAAACCTGTGCACCTGGAGTCCCGAGTTGAAGCGCAGCCAGGAAGTCTGATTGGACTTTGAGATTTTCAGTTTTGTTTGCAATATGCATCAGATGGTCAGTGAACAGAATGTGGGCAGACTGTAGGCAGTCTGTCAGAGACTGTGTTGGTTATCAGTATAGAAATAAGATCCTCTGGAACTAGATTTCTTATTGTATTATTAGTATTCCTCCCCTGAGCTTTCACATCTGAACAAAAACTAATTCAAAAGCACAAATGGGGTTGTTTAGCTTGAAGGTAAAACATGCATGGCACTCTACCTCTCTCCGTTCGCTGCAGATCTTGCAAAGCCACTGAGCCCTTTTTTGACTGCCTGCAGTCTCGATTCCACATTTGGTGCACACCTTCTGCAACACAAACACGCATACCTTTAGAACAAGTCAAACAAACACACAACCTGATAACCACTGTAACTAATGTATTAAAAATACATTAATATACACATATACACACACATTGATAAATTCATACATATAATTATAAGAAACTTGTCATATATATTTATTTATATAAAAAAAATTTATAATGTGATATTCTGCTATAATTATAAATGTGTTTATGATTTAACAATTTCATCTTTCATCCAGTGAAAGGTCAGCTTTTTTTGCTCAAAACAACAGAGAAAGTGTACCACAATTTGTGCACCACCACTGTTTTTATTATTATTATTTTTTTTTTTAAGTTTACCAGCAAGATGATTGTAAACACAATTTTGTGTGGATGCAGAAACACATCCACCCTGCAATCGTGCTGATTGTAAAAAGCATCATCCCTCTTCACACTAAAATATATAAAATTACAGTGGGAGATATTAGTGTGGAATCTGACGGCTTGGTTTTTAGGAAACAATTTGAAGGTGAGGGCTGGGATACGCTGTTGTAATAAGAAAAGAGAAAGAACCTTTAATCAGGCTTTATGTAATAGAAGACAAACACTAGACTGAAGTGCCAGTAATTTAGTTTTAGCAGAACTTCCATATACTTAAATTGCTTTAAGATGGAGTGAGCGAGAGAAGAACAGAGAGAATGTGAGCGAGAGGGCACAAAGAAATCTCTTCAATTTCCGTTAAATACTTCTAAAGATCCCTCTGTGAGTGAGACCCACCTCTAAAGCTGCTGTAAGCGGTTTAATACCACGCATAAAATGTCCCTACTGCTTGACAGATATCACTAAAATGGGTGTCTTGAGAAATCACACTTCACTCTGTGACAGCTCCAGGCTCTCTAAATGGAAAAAAATGAATCTGATCGCAGCTTGCATGTCCTAGCCAATCAGAAAGCTTGGAAGCGGCCTTTTGTCAACTTAGACCAATGGCATGAGTTTAGAACGGGACTTTTTTTTTGGTCTTAACAAGAATGAAAACTGTTGTGAAAGAATTCAAACTTTTATGAAAAATGTTGTGAATTAAAGTTATTCTAAAACAGTTACTCTTATGAATCTAATACTGACAATTATTTTAACGGCAGATAGATAACTAATGCAATGGCTGATAATAAAATCCAATACAATTTTGTCAAAATAAGTTAAATAAAACAAAAAAATTAAATTAATTATTTTAAAATGTCACAACTGAATTTAGGCATCACAACATTAGAGATGTACAGTACAAAAAAACAGATATTCATTTTGAGATTTTTATTATGTGTTTGTTTAGGGACCAATTCTCATTAAGTAGTTGCTTATTAGCATGCATATTACTAGCATATTGGCGTTTTATTAGTGCTTAAAGGACACATATTAATGCCTTACTCTGCAGAACCGTGTTTTAGATCCCTTAATCCTAACCCCACACCCAAATTTAACAACTACCTTACTAGCTATTAAAATGAAGCAACAATTTAGGAGTTTACTGAGGCAAAAGTCTTAGTTAAAGTTAGTTAATACTGAGAATTTGTCCCTAAACTAAAAAGTTACCAATTAAAAAAATAAAAATAATGATAATAATAATAATAATAATAATAATAATAATATGAGATGATAACCGATATGGTACAGATATACTGTGCTTCTTTAGTCACACTTAGAATCATGGGTTTAACATTTAATTTTGGCATTTATCTAATTGATTTCTGCCTCTTAACTTTTCAAAACAACTGGATTTATGATTTTCACCTTAGGGATGATAAAACTTCTGATAATCAGCCTAGCAACAACCTATCAACCATCCAAACCAGAATAGCAAACTAGCTAAAAACCACTCCATAGGCAAAGTGATTTCCAGTAAATTTTTTCTACAAATCTGGTAATTTCAGCAATAGCTGACTCTCGGATTCCATATGGTATATGATGAACACAGTCTATTACACAAATGGTCACATATTGTCTGAACACAGAGGCATTACATTACATTAATTAGGGCTGAATGATTTTGGAAAATAATTTAATTGCGATTTAATATGCAATTATTTTTTTTAAAGCTCTTTATGTTCTGTATTATTCAACAAAGACAAGCTATAAATCATTGTATAGTATGACCAACAAAATATTAGATAGATTAAACATAAATGTTCTTTTCTGTAGGCCAGGCCTATGTTACGATGAAATTAGGTGATGCATGAATTGATATGAATGACATTTTTATTTAACAACTACAATCACAGTATATTGACTGATTTGTTGAACTTCCAACCTTGTAAGCATGTAATAATTATGTTTAAATAAGCCTGGTGTAAACATCAATATGAAAGTCAGTAACAAATCACACAAACTAAAGTAGATTGCAGAAATATAAAAACAAATCTGTTGCTTCCCACTACTTTAGGTAATTCACAGTCACTGTAATAAACATATGTAAACATGTGCACTGCACTTTTTAAACACTGTCTGTTAACTTTAGACCAGTGGTTCTCAAACTTTTTTGATCGTGCCCCCCTTTAAACCTATAAAAAAAATCTGCCCCCCCTTTCCCGAATCCCCATTCCACCTCAGACTACCAAATAATTTCACTATTCACATTATGAAAAATGTATGCTTTTTTAATTTAAAAAATCTACAGGAAAAAAAACACTTGCATCACTTGAAACATTGAAAAATAGCATAGAGAGAATAACTTATTATTATTATTATTCTCTCTGTTATTTATTTATTTATTTTTTGTGGGTTTCATGCTGTCCGTACACAGGCTTTCCTCCTCACCAACGACATTAAACACCGTGTCTACACCGGACGCGAGCGGCAAAATACAGTAGAAACCATTATAACCAGTGACACTGTGTACACTGGATGCGACGCGACATTAAACTGATGCCTTGTTCTATTTATGACGTACTGACACAAAGTTAAAATGATTTGCAACGGTCGCTTTGTCGCGTCCAGTGTAGAGCTGTTGCGGCGCGACGCGAAAACTGTAGCGTCCGGTATAGACACGGTGAGTGAAGCAGAGAGCAAGATATGCCTCGTCATATTTTCTGCATTTAGCATTTGAATGACCAGCACCTGCCTGGGTCTGTGCGAATTCATCTATGGCTTTTCTCTTCGCTTTCACAAACCGATCCATCTCCCATTCTAATTACGTCCTCTGGCTGTTTACGGTTTTATTTATTTTCTTTTTCTGCTGATGGCCCGCGCTCGACTTGAAGCAGCGCTGCTTAGACCGATGGGTGTGTCATCAAAGTACTGCGAGAGCTATAAGAGAGCGCGGACGTCTCCTTATGCTTTCTCTCGCTGTACTTTGATGTCAAAGGCTACACCGATCGATCTTCAAGTGGAACACACCTCTTTACTCTCGCGTGTCACGTGACCGAGTGTAATCGCAGTCTCTGCGATTGAAAAATCGTGTTTTTTCATATCGCGATATTATCGCAAATGCAATTAATCGTTCAGCCCTAATTACATTTATACACCGATCGATCTTCAAGTCAAACACACCTCTTTACTCTCGCTTGTCACGTGACCGTGCAATCGCAGCCTCTGCGATTGAAAAATCCAATTTTTTCATATCGCGATATTATCGCAAATGCAATTAATCGTTCAGCCCTAAATCTAATAATAATAAAGATCAATTCTTTAATTTCCCCTGCATGTTGAAAAGCCATAGTAATTCCAGTGAGGTCTAGAAACAGCAGCTGTTGAGAATGATCACAGGTCATGAGAGAGCAGAGTGATGTGAGCTCAGGGTTTCTGTAACAGATGCTCTGTCCTCACTGGCACAGACCTGCTGTTAAGGATCTCATTCACTCTTTAGCACTCCTTAGTCCTGTGTCAAGTCACAGTGTGTGTCTGTCTCCAAGTAAACTACTAACTGTAATCCCAAAGTTCAGTGGAAAGTATCAGTCTTGTGCCACTATATGTGCAATATCAGTACACTAAAGCAGTGTTTCAGTTACACACTGCCCCCTTGTGGTCACATTGAGAACAAGTCAAAGTTAAATCGATATTTCCAATAGCAGGCTATATATTAAGTAGTATACTATATTTGAGATGTATATTTGAGCATACTACCATACTACTTCAACACAGCTGCTCTGTCATGTCGGCCATTTGCAGGCCAACCTATGAGGTTAGTGTTTCCTCAGGATTTTTTATTTATTTTTTTTTTAGATTAAGGATAGTACTGTTGTGTTTTGGGTAACATAAGGTCTGAGGCACATTATTTGAAGAGATTTTCATCTATTATCCTACATTACAACATAAATGACACACCATCATAACTCAAACATGAGTCGTCATGTAAAGTCGCTTCCTTGTAGTTGTTGTAGTCTTTATTTAGCAAATGGTTAGCAAAAGAGAATGTTTCACTATTCATGTTTGAGGATTGATTGTGTGTAATGTTACATTGTTTGTTATACACTACCATTCAAAAGCTTGGGGTCGGTAAGAATTCCCAACATTTTTGAAGTAAGTCTTTTATGCTCACCAAGACTGCATTTATTTGATCAAAAACACATTTAAATGGTAAAATTGTAAAATATTATTAAGATTTAAAATAACTGTTTTCTATTTTAATATATTTTAAAATTGAATTTATTGTTTTGATGGCAAAACTGAATTTTCAGCAGCCAATACTCCAGTCCTCAGTGGAGTATTGGCTGATGGTAGCACTCGCTATCCTTTATTTTTTTAACAACATAAACAACATTAACTATTTATCAGGTACTCTTATAAGCTATGATGTGACAACTAAACAAAAAACACAAACAGCCTTATCTTATGTGAAGCATTTTTTTCCTCAAATGTTGGATGCAGAGTAAAATTAGCCATTACATGTGGAAAAAAAGGTAAGTTCTAAATCTTTTCTGCAAGTTCTATATTGTAATGTACAGAAATCTTAAGGTGTGTTACTTTTGAAAACAATAAGTGAGATAGTGGGCACAAAAGTTGCAAGTACTTCAGTTTAAGGCAACGTTTCCCAATCCCAGTCCTCACATCCCCCGCTCTGCATATTTCGTATGTATCTCTTATCACGTACGACGTTTGTTCTATTCGACCGTAAGCGCCCTGCGAAGTGGACATCACTGGATATTCCGCCATGATTCCAGTTCGAAACGAGTGTTTACGTTCCATTCAAAGGGCATTAAAGTGTGCGAGACGTGAATTTAAATAGTATTTGTTTACAGAGGTATATTATTTCACACTTCTCTAGTAAGTTTGTCTGTGTGTGAAGACGCTGCAGGCAGCGGCACAGCGCAAATCCATGAATGAATGTTCCGAAGTGAAGAAAACTTCAACGGATTTCCCTTGTTCAGGGAGTAGGGAGCAATGAACACTGGCTGTGTTCGAAATGGCATACTTGCTTACTGCCCAGTACACAGTGCATACTGCCTACTATTTTTTTAAAGAATAGTGTGTGAAACAGTATACAATAAGCAATAAATGTTTCAGAGTAGTATGCTTAAGTGCTGTCACATGACAAACACTGAACATTAATTCAGCACAGCTGTCAAGGTTGTTACCTTAGAAACAACTGAGCTAACGAAGGCTTGTTAATAAGGCTTCATACTAGTAAACAATGCTGTTTGTACAAATGTAGTACAAATGTAGTACATTATAAAACAGTATGCAATAACATATTGAGTGTAAATTATCATATATATATATAAATTGTATTAGATGAATGCCACTTTATTGGGACAAAAACCTACCTAAAGCATACACTACACTGTATTATTGAGGCGTTTTATTTCCACTTTTCAAATATTTACTTAATTTTTATTGAAAATAAATTTCTTTCTGATCTGGTATGTGATGGGAAAAGGAGAAGCATGAGTTTGACAAAAACCAGGATCGAACTCGGGTCGACTGCGTCAAAAGCAAACAGCTCACGTTTTACTCGCTGCGCCACTGATACTTCAGAAATGCAAGTGTCTTTTGCAGTGCTGTTAATCACAGCCAGGCATTGGTGGGCGGAGTTAATGTAAATAGCCTCTGCCAACAAATTGGTCTATTTGTCCTTAGAGTAATACACTCCATTTCTTTTTAGAGCTGCTTGACAGTGGAATTGAATTCTGTTTGCATAATTGAAATATTTTTATTTATACATTTTATTTATATATTATATTGCTGCAATATTATTATTATTTAATATCTTTGAAAGAATCTGTACTTTAAAGCGCTATAAATATAAAGGTGACGTCATTTGATGATCGGAAACGTGCTGTAGATATTAAAGTACAATTTATTTCCTACTAACGATACAGTTTTTAGATACACAGCGATAGTTTGTAGTTTACATGTATATGTATATACGAACAAATACAAGTGTTACATTTATAATTACTATTCCCCACCACCAGTTCACTCACGCGTTTGAAGATGAAACGTCACATGGAGCGCATTGCGTTCTGGGAAACAGTATCCCATGCAGCGTCTTCAGATGCATACATCAAATTTCAGCCAATGTAGCAGGTAATCCAGGCATTCCATGCATACAGAAAATTCACATACTATTCACAGTATACACACAGCATACTGCAATATAGTATGGTAGTATGCCATTCCGAACAGCTTCTGTACTGATTTGGATTGGAAACCGCTGGTTTAAGGTATTGTAAAGAAAAACCTACATGACTAACCAAAATAATGCAACAATAACATGGCTGATCTTACCCTACCCTAATGTTAAGAACAGGCCTTATTTTAACCATTAATCCAAATCCTCCATTCCAAAAACCCATATGAGATTCCTGAGGGAACATGTGAGTTGTTCTCTTTAGGGTTTTGAATAACTTTTTAATGCAGTATATAGCATATACACATGCATTGTGCACAGTATGCATATTTTCTGTATGCAAAGAATGCTTAGATGACTTTCAGACTGTCCTTAAATGTACAGATCTTTGCTGCCACTATGTGGCATCTTAGAATTACTGCATGAGCCCATAGATCGTTACTACATGGAAATGACTAAGCGTACTTGCAAAAAGCAGTGAGTGTGAGTGTGAAGGGTAGAGAACATCATGTTTAGAAGATTTAGACCAGTCTGTACCATGCAGCAGTCCAAACAGAGGACGGACGGAGAGCTCAGCAGACCAAACACTTCTCCACACAGCAGGCACTGTGACAGGCCATTTCCCACAGCAGATCTCCTCATGTTCTCCAGACGCTCCACTAAACGCCTGAAACACACACACATCTAAAGTTACAGAAGACAGGACATTGTGTGACAAAGCAGAAAAAGGCATGAAAAAGCATAAAGGTGATGCAGACTGATAAAGTCTCACCCAATCCGGTGTTGCTCAATGATCTCGAGCTGCTCAGCGCGGTGGATGACACTCATGATGAGATCCAGCTCTCTTTTCTCAAGTGTCTGAGCTTTCCTCTGCCTCTCTGACTGAAACGTGTGGATGGACCAGCCTGTATGTAACCTGGGTGGAGTGCAGACACATAAGACAAATATCATTCATCAGAAATCAATCACTATGATTGTCTTTTCCCACACACTCTTTACATTGGCTGACTTGAAGAAACGTACAAACTGAAGAAACAAACAAACTTACTTTGCTCTAAGCGCTAGTTGTCTATCATTGGGACAGACCCAGTGCTCATTCTCACTGCCAAACATGGTGTCTGTCATGTTTCACAGTGGAGCTGTAACAGATCAGAATGACAAGTCAAAAATCATTATGAGAATAATCAGGTGAATTAAAGTTATGATGTAAACGTATGATGTAAACGTATGAAACAACAGTAGCAATATAAAGTAGGTTTGAGAATGTAATCGTTTCCAAGCGTGAATATAAATACATAATAAGCACTCAACTTCAACGTCACAGCCACTCATTGGCTTTGACAGGTGTTAGCTGTTTGTTGTGATGGAGCTTACATTCAATTATGTAAAAGTGGAAGGACGCGGCTCAACTGATTACTGGATAATTAATCTCACAACACCTGCCAAATGACAGTTTCAGACACTAGACACGAAGACATATTGTGCAGTCTAACAGTGTCATTAAAATAACACTTTATGATGAAAATAACAGTACTCTTTCTTAAATGGAATGAGACTGTATATATGTTTGTTCTGGTACTGCATGGATCCTATTTATTTAATAATTGATGAGTTACATGCAAGTTAAATGAAAGAGGTTGTGTAACAAAAAAAAAAAACATCAATAAAATAAAAAATACTTTGATCAAATAACGTGTAGGCTTTGATAATATAATAATAAATAACACCTCATAACATATTATTTTTGCTCATTTTTGCACTTATATATACTGGAGAAAAACATGCAGCCACATTCACGTTTAAGATTATTACTGAATTAACTTACTGAATTAAATGTTAGAATTAGCTAAAATCTACATTAACATATTTGGGAAACCTCACTATTTTTATAGGGTAAGAAACACTTTCCAGCGGAGTAGAAAACTTTACATTTGTATTTGTAAGACTATTACTGAACTGATGTATATAAATCAGGTTTTGATCAAATTGGTTAAATTATGTATATATTATTATTAATATAATAATAAATATTTATTATTATTGCTATTGTGTATGTGTGTGTGTATATCCACACACATATGTACTTTATAAATGCATATAATATTTTTAATAATAATAGTACTAGTAACAACAACAATATAAATAATAATAATTACAATCACAATTATTATTATTTGTAATAAGAAAAAGAATAATCATTATTATTATTATTATTAGTTGTTGTTGTTGTTGTTGTTATATACATTTATAAATTATTAATATTAAAAAGGCATTAAATTACAGGAAAACGATGGGGACATCACATCATTAAAAAAAACTATTGTTCAACAGATCATTGTATTCATGTTGTGGTAAAACAAATGGATAAGATATTTGCTGTTGAAACAATCGTGACTTTCAGTACATTGATAAAAATTCTATATTTATAAATAGGGTTGCAAAGGGGTGGAAAATTTCTGGTAAATTTCCGGAAACTTTCCCAAAAAAAATCCCTGGAATATTCCCAAAAATCCTGGAAAGTTTCCAAAATTTCTGTAATATTTCCGAAATTTACTGGAAATTTTCCACCTTTTTGCAACCCTATTTATAAACATCAAACCCATATAATGTATTGTGCATAAGTTTAAAGAGCAGGTCATATGGGTTTTCGAAAAATATCTCTTTTGCAGTTTGTAAGGTAGCTATCCTTCAATGTAAACAGTCTGCAAAGTTGTTAATCAAAAAAGTGCATGATAAATAAAGATATTGTCTCTCAAAAGAAAGAGTCGACTCAGAATCGCCTTAACGAGTCGTTATATTTTCGAATCTTTTGCCTGTTACCGA